TCTGATCACCTCTCATTGTCTCCAGTGTTACCACACTGGTGCATGCCGCCTTCATTTCTCCCCAGGATTTTTGCAGAAGCCTCCTCATTGTCTCTCTGCTTCTGCTCCCCTGCATCCCATCTACCCTCACCCACTCCCAGGTGTTCACCTTTGTAATCTCTGACTCACATGCTTCACCCCAAATGGTAAATGTAGTTCATTGGATCTCTCAGTAAAAAAACAAGAGAAAGATAAACAAGATGCTTTAGATTACCCCGATGCACAGCCAGAGTGATCACGTCAATCCTGTGGTCAAAAACCTCCAGTGGCTCCCACCTCACCCAGAGTCAAAGCCAAAGGCCTTACAGTGGCCACAAAGCCTTGCACAGTCTGGCTCTTCATTGACTGTCTGACATCACCTCCTTCTGCTCTCTCGTGCCCACCCATCACCAGGTATACTGGCCTCCTTCTTGTCCCTCCAACACATCAGGCTTGCTCTGTCTCAAGGCCTGTTTCTCTGCCTGTAATGCTCCTCCCCCAGATTATCACATGGCTCTTTCCCTCACTTCCTTCAAAGTCACCTTCTCATTCTCTATCTACATATTCTCTGTTCTCTGTGTTCTCATCTCATCTGTCATTACTCTGAGTCTTTCTCTACTTGTGTCTCTCTCTTGTTCTATGGCAAGATGTGACTCACTAGGGCTTCTCACATTTGCCGCAGGTACAAAGCTGAAGCTTCCTGGGCCATTTGGGATGGTAGAAGGTGGCAAGAGTGTGAGGACTGGGGCTGTGGGTGTCACCTCTCAGGTTTCCTGAAGCAGAGGCTGTTGTTGGAAGTCCCATGAGGCAAGCTCAGGCGAGTGGAGATTGGAAACTGGGGCTATGCATAGCCTGGGTCAGGCCCAAGTCAAGGTCTAGCAATGAGGACACTGACCTAGATCCTGGGACAAGGTAGTGGAGGCTCAGACTGATGGGAAGGACACTTCAGAGGTTTGTATCTCTGGGGTTTGAATTCAAATTAAAAGCTACAGCATAAGTCAGATCAATGACCTGTGAGACCCTACATCATGTGCCATTTCCCCCCACTCTGCCCACACCTCTCTGGCCTCAACTCCTACCACTCCCATCCTTATTGTGTGCCAGCCACCCTGGCCTCCTTGATGTTCTTGGAACACTCCAGGCACACTGCTGCCTCAGGGCGTTTGTACTTGCTATTCTCTCTGCCTAAAACACTCTTTCTAGATATCTGCATGCTTATTTCTCACTTCATTCAGGCCTTTACTTCAAAGTCACCTTCTCAGTAAGGCTTTCACTGGCCACAAAGTCTAAAGTTTCAATTACACACATACACACTCAGATATCATACTTCCTAGCCTCCACCCCTCCAGACTTAATTCTCTCTCCTTGGCATCTATCCCTAACCAACAAATGATTGATCTTGTTTATTGCTGTCTCTCCCCAGTAGTATGTCAGCTCCGTTGACGGATTTTTGTCTGTTGTGTTCACTGCTGTATCTCCAGTGCCTAGCACGGTGAGCATCTATAACATGCCGGATATTTTTCAGTCTTTATCTCTTACTAGAAATAAATGGGATGATATCACTTTTGTAAAAATATATATACACATATACCAAAAAAAACAAAAACAAAACAAAACTCATTGCCATTGAGTCCATTCCAACTCATAACAACCCTATAGGGCAGAGTAGAACTGCCCCATAGGGTTTCCAAGGAGTTGCTGGTGGATTTGAACTGTCGACCTTTTGGTTAGCAGCCAAGCTCTTAACCACTGCGACACCAGGGCTCCATATAAATGTATACATACATACAAACGTATGCACTGCTCCACATGGGGTGGGGGCAATGGGGTGCTCCATGGAATTGAGTGTGAGGTGGTGGCCCTGCACACATATGAAGGAAAATGTCTTAAATACTATATGCTAAGGTGTCAATAGTACTACTTCTCTTTGGGACATGGATTTCAAGTGATTTTAACTTTCCTCCATTTTACTAAGCTGTATTTTGTAATTTTCCTACTGTGACTACAGACCACTTTTGTAGTAAGAAAAAAAATTACAGAAGATTGAACCCTAAAGGGTATTGTTATAACTCTAAATCATTATCATGATGGAAAAACAAAACACGGCTAGCCTCACTGCTTTTGCTGTGGGTGGAAAACCAACAAAAGGCCAGTACGTGGATCACGTTATTCTTTAAAACCTCACTCCTCTTTCTTCTCCTTGGCCTGCTTCCCCAGCCCCACCCCGGGGTTTTTAAACTTTGTAATCTCTGGCCCACATGCTTCACCCCCAAACGGTAAACATAGTTCAATGGATCTCTCAGTGAAAAACAAGCGGAAAGATAAACAGGATGCTTTGTATGCTCCTGCTGCATAGTCACTAGGATGCCCCTCTAGCAGTGGGCCAGGTGGATCGAATCGCTAGCACAAGTGCACATGAATTTGTCCTTCTGAACCCAGTGGGTTCATCACGGGCCTAGCAGTTATTACCACACAAATTGCTAGGGAAACAAAAGCGACCAAAACAAAGCAGCCCCTGCCCTGTGGAGCTTACGGACTAGTGGGCAGACAGATAGTCCGTGACATTATCACATGATTAAAGAAGTATAAATTGTGCTAAGTGTTAAGAGGGAAGGTCTAAAGAACTAAGAGAGCGTATAACCAGACGCACCTGATCTAATCACTTCTTAGTTGAGGTGATTACTGACATAATTCAGTGTTTTTGCTTTCTTCCTTAGCGATATGAGGATCCTTTACAAGTACAAATACGCTGAACATTTCGCAAAGAACTTTTCATGGGATTTCCATATGATCCTTAAACCAGATATAAGCAGAGGTTATGACACTCACTTTACAAAAGTGAAAACGAAGGTGCAGAGAGGTTAAACAGCTTCCTCAAGATCAGATAATCACTGCCACCAGACTCAGAGGTCAAACCTAGGTCTTAGCTTCCATATATATTTTTACTATATTATTTTTTCTTTTTTTAAAACAATTCTGAAATACAGCATACTTTCTTTTCTTAATGTTGAAATATCAGATACTTAACAAAAAGAATGTGGGGAAAATATATATGTACAGTTTAAAGAACAATAACCGTGTACCCACCACCTAGCCCAAGGAACAAATTTTAACATAGCCCCAAAGCCCCCTCTCCCCAGAAGTAATCACTATGCTAAATTTTGTACTAATCATTCTCTCTCTTTTTTTTTATATATAATTTATGTATCTCTTAACAATATGCTATTAAGTTTTGCCTTGTTTTGAATTTTCTATAAATGGAATCTCGGTTTATGTATTCTTCTAATTTACTTCTTATTCCCAACATTTTGTTTTTGAGATTATCCATACTGATAATGCCAATAGCTTTAATTCATTCATTTTCACAGATAAAGAATATTTCATTGTGTGATTATACTACAAGTTATTTATGCATTCCTCTGTTAATAGACATCTAGTTTGTTTCCAGTATTTTGATGTTACAGTCATTCTTGTACATATTTCCTGGGGCATGTGCAAGAGTTTCCCTAGGGCATTTTCTACAAGTGGAGTTGCTGGGTCGTTGGGTTTGTACCTGTTCAACTTGCTTAGCTAATGCCAAACTCTTTCCCAAAATGGTTGCACCAATTTACACTTCCATAAGCAATTACTTTTTAAGTAGGTAATGCATTCAAATGTTTAAAAATATTTTTTAAAAGTTCCCAAAGGGTAATACAATGAGAAATCTCCTGTCCTTCAACTATCTCATTCCCCTCCCCACAGGCAACCAGTATTACCACTTTCTGGTGATTATCTTTCCAGAAACATGCTAGGCATATATTTTTCCCTTTTACAACAAATGTTAGCATTCTATACATACTGCTCTGCAGCTTGCTTGTTTCACTTGATAAACATCATAGGTAGTATAACCTAGTGAGTAAGAATTTGGTCTCTGGAGAAGGTTGTTTGGGTTCATATCCCAGCTCCACTCTAAACTGACTGTGACTTAAACAGGTCATTTATACTCTCTGTGTCTCATATTCCTTATTTGTAAAATGGGGGGAAGAACTCTAACTCAAGGTTTTTATAAGAATTAAATTAGTTACTATATATAAAGTATTTACAACTGTGCCTGTTAAAACCATAACTACAATCATTAATATAATTTTGATAATAATGTTTTTTCATTATTTCTTACAGTTGCATGGTAGTCTGTATTATGTAGATGTATCACAAGTCTAATTTTAATCATAATTGATAAACATTTAAATTGTTTCCAGGATGTTGATATTACAAACAACACTGCAATAAATAACCTTGACATGTATCATTTCCCACACTGGTGATCACATCTGTAGCATAAAGACCTAGAATTGGAACTGCTGAGTCAAACATATTACGTGCGGTTGTAATTTTGATACACCACAGACTCTCATATATATTCATTTAGAGAGACATAGAAACTTTATAATAAAAGAGACTAGGGAAGCTACTCTGTTGTACAGATGAGTCAACTGATGCCCTGAGAGAGATAGTGACACAGTGGCAGAAACGGCAGCGGAACCCATGCAGGTGTCTGGACTTTGAGTCCTAAAGTTCTTTGAAGTCCATTTTAGAATTTCATTATTTTGATGCGGCAGTTTGCTTTCCTAACAGTAGCAACGTAATTTCTAATTTCTCATTGTTCCATCCGATTTTTCCATAGGCTGTTTTCCTACCCTAGATCGATCATGTGCGCTGTAAAATGACCCTTGGACAATTATAACCTTCATGAGTTTTGCCTTGGGCTGGGAGAATGCTGGACTTGGTAAACCGACTAGGTGAGGCGGGTTCTGCCAGCCAATCCCAAAACATCATTTAAATTAGAAGGGGAAACGAATCCCACAGCACGTGACGTTCCGCAGTATCGCTTGCACTAATTTTGCAAGCAGATAGTTGATTTGTAAGGTACCTTTTAGACTAAAGGAAGCCCGCCTCCCGGTGGCAAAGTGGTCATTGGATGGTTTGGCTGCCAATCATCAGGCTAGAAATTTAAGGGAGGCCGGCAGCTCCTGGCTCAGGAAGGCACAGAGTGGTGTGGCTTGTGCTGGCGAGAATCTGCGGGTAATTTCTGACTGTTACTTCATATTAACTTGAGCAGAAAATCAAAGAGGCCTCTCCTCTTATCGCTGCTCCTCCCTGTGGGACAGGCGTGATGGCAGAAGCCGCGGTCACGGGCGCCAGCGGAGAGGCTATGGCGGTGGCGGAAGGTTCCTCGGGCCCGGGGGGCTTGTCTCTGGTTCGCGGCTTCTCGGGCTACCGGCCCTTCGAACCGCAGGCGTTGGGCCTGAATCCGAGCTGGCGGCTGACGGGCTTCTCGGGCATGAAGGGCTGAGGCTGCAAGGTCCCCCGGGAGACGCTGCTCAAACTCCTGGCGGGACTGACGCGGCCCGACGTGCGGCCCCCACTGGGCCCGCCCCTGGTCGGAGGCCATGAGGAGGCCGCCCAGGAAGGGGGCCTGCCAGCTGGCGCGGGACCCAGCCCAACCTTTCCAGCCCTGGGCATTGGGATGGACTCCTGTGTTATACCTCTGAGGCACGGAGGTCTGTCGCTGGTGCAGACCACGGACTTCTTTTACCCCCTGGTGGAAGATCCTTACATGATGGGGCGCATAGCGTGTGCCAACGTGCTGAGTGACCTTTACGCCATGGGCATTACGGAATGTGACAACATGTTGATGTTACTCAGTGTCAGCCAGAATATGACTGAGGAGGAACGAGAAAAGGTAACACCACTCATGATCAAAGGCTTTCGAGATACTGCTGAGGAAGGAGGCACTGCAGTGACCGGTGGACAAACGGTGGTAAACCCTTGGATTATCATAGGTGGAGTTGCCACCGTAGTATGTCAGCCAAATGAGTTCATAATGCCTGACAGTGCAGTTGTTGGGGATGTGCTTGTGCTAACCAAACCCTTAGGAACCCAAGTTGCTGTCAATGCCCACCAATGGCTAGATAATCCTGAAAGATGGAACAAGATAAAGATGGTGGTCTCCAGAGAAGAGGTAGAGCTGGCCTATCAGGAAGCCATGTTCAATATGGCTACCCTAAACAGAACTGCTGCTGGATTAATGCACACATTTAACGCCCATGCGGCCACAGATATCACAGGCTTTGGCATTCTAGGACACTCTCAGAACCTTGCAAAACAGCAAAGAAATGAGGTGTCTTTTGTCATTCATAATCTGCCGATCATTGCCAAGATGGCTGCCATCAGTAAGGCCAGCGGAAGATTTGGGCTCCTTCAAGGAACTTCATCAGAAACCTCCGGAGGACTACTGATTTGTCTGCCAAGAGAACAGGCGGCTCGCTTTTGTTCCGAAATCAAATCTTCCAAGTACGGAGAGGGTCATCAAGCCTGGATCGTCGGCATTGTAGAAAAGGGAAACCGAACGGCGCGGATCATTGACAAGCCTCGAGTTATTGAGGTCCTACCTCGGGGAACCACTGCAACTACTCTTGTTCCTGACAGTTTCAATGCCTCCTCTGAGCCTACTTTATGAGATGGAATAGCAGAAGTTGTTTGGACCTTAGAGCCTTTATATACAATCATGGACGATTCTCAAGAGTTGATTTTAAGAAGAAAAAATTTCCAAAGAAGGCTGCCTGCATAGTAGTTCCAGCTGCCCTTTCTAAGTGATTTGAATCAGCTCATCAAAGGCTGCCTTTATGCACATTCCAAGGCCAGAAGTAACATTTTGGACTTTGGAGGGAGATTTGTTCATCTCTTGGGTAGAAGAGGAGCAGAAATAATCTGTTCCTTCTTTTCCAAGAACAAGATAAGGCTATTTAGTTTGAGGGACGTTTCTTTGCACTGGGTTGATTGATTTCTGCACAGGGAGTAAGATGATTTATTAAAAGTATATTACATGCACACAAAAAAAGTAAATTGCAAAGTGAAAAGAACATTTACATTAGAAGCAAATAAGTTTGGACCAATACTTTTGATAAAGTTAAATTGTTAAGTAGGAGATCTCATAATGCAATGTCAAATTCTTTATTAGATTCTCTGAAGAATGGTTCTTTCCAGCTCTGGACAAGAATTGAGCAGCTTGCCCAGAAAGGAGGATCTGTAACCATCTGACTTGGTCTCTGTTAATGACGTTTCTCCCTCTAAACCCCATTAGAGGTCTGGGAGAGACAGAGCAAGCCCCAGAGCCCAGGCCTTGGTGGTCATTGAGATGTTAAATCTTGTGTTGAAAATTAATTCCTGGTGATTTAATCAGTAAAGAGTAATTTCTGGCAAAAATAAATAAAACTTTGTTGCAAAATTCTTCTGGCTAATGTTTGGTTTCTTAGAGTGCTGAATCTTTCTTTTACAGTCTTATAAAATGAACCAATGGATACATGTAGAATCTGGTAAAGTGCAGTGTGAAAGTGTTTTTCCTGATCCTGGACCGGGCAATTTAACAAACATAGGTTTAGGTTTGCACCTTTCTCCTAAGGTGACAGCAAAGTACTCAAAACAGGTATAAACCCAAGGACTAGAGGGTTGACAACTCTCGGGTGGAAGATGATAACTGACTTAGCAGAATAGAGGAAGCCAAAAATGTAAATGCCTTCATTGTCAGAAGCAAGGTGCTATGCTCTGAAGGTACTAAGGAAGGTGGGGAGTGAGGGGTGGAGATAAAAAAAAAAAAAAAAACTGGTTCAGAGTTCATAACAGGGTGATTAGATCTTTGAAATCAGCCTTCCCGCGCTGCTACCGCCCTCCCTGCCCACCCGCTGCTACCGCCCTCCCTGCCCACCCGCCCCCCACCCACTGCCACCACATGTAGCCAGATGACTGCCTCTCACCGCTGCAGATAAAGGGAGGTTTTTTATTATCTAGAAAATGTGAATTATCACCAGGGGGTCCCAGGCAGAGCTGGAGAAAAATGTAGAACAAAATTCTAACAAAACAAAGCAAAACAAAAAAACAGACTTACTGGTCTGACAAGATACTGGAGAAACCCCGAGAGTATGGCCCCTGGACACCCTTACAGCTCAATAATGAAGTCACTATTGAGGGTCAACCTTCAGCCAAAGATTAGACAAGCCCATAAAACAAAGTGAGACTAAATGGGCACACCAGCCCAGGGGCAAGGACAAGAAGGCAGGAGGGGACAGGAAAGCTGGTAACAGGGAACCCAAGGTTGAGAAGGGGAGTGTGTTGACATGTTGTGGCGTTGGCAACTAATGTCACAAAACAATATGTGTATTAATTGTGTAGTGAGAAACTAGTTTGCTCTGTAAACCTTCATCTAAAGTACAATAAAAAAAAAAATGTGAATTAAAAATGACTTCAAAGTCAGGAACAGCAGGCCTAAGGAGCCTGACTGAAAACAGAAGAATAAAAACTGAAAAGAGACTGCCCTGGCTCCCTTCCTCAGCTTAGCTATTGAAAAAAACTGGCTGAAGCTTACACCTGCCCCTTCCTCACGCAGGAGAAGGATTGGAGAGTACAAATGTCCAGAAACAAAGACCTATAAATATGAACATTTAGGGGGGTCCAGTGTAACAGCCTGCTCACTACCTCTACTGTGAAGACTCTCAATTGAAAAGAGCATTAAGCTTTTCAATGCTTCCTTCTTACATATGAGCAGTGAAGGATCCAACTTGAAAGAAGCCAAATCAAAGAGAAAAAAGAAACTCAGGAAAGAGACAATACAGGGGGCAGAAGAAAACTTAAAAAAAAGAAATCTGTAAATATCCTAAAGAAGATAAGATAGCTATAAAAAGATAATAAAAGAACGAAACACTAAAAACCATAAAGAGATAGCTAACGTTAAATTCAGTAGAAGATTTAGAGGATAAAGTTGAGGAAATTTATCAGAAAGAACAGAGATACATACTAGAAGGAAAACAATGTGTGAAAATCAGACATGAGCCAGGAACTCTTTAAGAGGAGTTCCGGAAAGAGGGAATAAAGCAGATGGAAGAAAGAAAATTATTAAAAATAATAGAAGAAAGTTTTCTAAAACTTGAAGTTGTAATTCTCATGTACTTCTTGAATTCCCAGTGTAGTGAATGAAAAAAGACACTAATTTTAGTATGAAATTTCAAAATTCCAAGGATAAAGAGATGCAGATAATAATAAAAGCAAATGTGTGTATAGTGCTTACTCTTTGCCAGGCACTGTTCTAAGTGCTTTATATGGATCAACCCATTTAATCTAACTACCCTATTTTGCAAATGAGGAAACTGAGGTACAGTGAGATTAACAAATTCGTCCAAGGTCACACAAACTCCAGAATCCATGTTTCTAACCATTAGACTATCCTAAAATCTTCCAGAAAGGGGAGGAAATCCCCTGTAAAGATTTGTGGATAAGAATGGTAACATACTTCTCAACAGTAAATTGGAAGCTAAAAGACCATGAAGCAATGCCTCCAAAATTCTGAGGGGAAATTCTTTTCTTCATAGAATTCGTTAATCAGCCACAACTTTCAAACAAGTAGAATAAAGATATTTTTAGATATGCAAGGTAACAAAATGGTTTTATCCCATGCACTCTTTCTCATGAAACTAATGGAAGATGTGCTCCAGCAAAACAAGTAAAACAAGAAAGATAAAATCTAAGATCCAGGAAACAGGTGGCCCAGCCCAAGAGAGAGGTGAAGGGAGGTCTCAAGATAGCAGCTGTACAGAAGCTCTAAAGGACAACCAGTTCATACTGGAGCGGGAACCTAGAAGGCTTCCAGGAAAAAAAAAAAAAAAAAGGAATTGCTAGAGTACTGATACATTAAATTGTGAGGAAAATTGCACTGGAAGGTTAACGGAAGTTGTAAAAAGAATTAATGGTAACTATACAAAAAACTAGCAAAGGAAAATAAAATGAGGCAGTTATCAATTCCAGCCCAAAACCAAACCTTGCATAGCGAATGAAATGTAATCATGCCACAGTTAATACTGTAAAGAGTACTGATTTAACAATAATAGAAGTAAATTCAATCAGTTTTTCTCCTGCTCAAAGCTGTTTTGGCTTTCCATAACATCCCTACTCTTTCTCATGGCCTGTAAGACTCTGCATATTCCCACTCCGGCTACATATCTCTAACATTCTCTCATTGCACTCTCCCTAATCCTCTCATTAAACTCTAGTTCAATAGCTTTTCGTGGTGCTTTAAACAAATCAAGATCCTTTGTGCCTGGAACCTCACCTCAGGCTCTCTACTTGGCTGACTCATTCTCAGCCCTGTTTCAGCTCAGATAAAACCTCTTAATAAATGCCCTCCCTGACCTCCAAGCCAACACCTAGCTACTCTCCAATTTATCACCCTATCTACTAGCTTCATAGCTCTAATCCAAATCTGTAATTATTCTGAGGATTTGCTAGTTTACTTTATAATTGTCCCCTTCTGCTGGTATGTAAGCTCCAAGATGGCTGGGATATCCTGTATCCCCAGCACTTAGAACAGTGCCTGGTCCGTAGTTAGTGCTCAGAATATAGTGAATGAATGACAGAATGAATGAATGAGATACACACTGGGGGACCCTGGTACACTCTCTCTCCATACTTTCCTTGCTCTTTGTGTCTCCTAGCAGTGGAAGCTGGTACCAACCAATCTCTTAAAACTAGGCTTCAGAGAAGAAATTTGGCCCTTGGTCCTCATTGCCCACTTACGTAGCTCTCTGACTGGTTCATTCTCTAGCAGTAAAAAAAGGGAGGAGAATGATTGGATGCTTCCCTGACCTGGGTTCACTCAGTCAACCAAGAAGGAGTTAAAGTTGGGGCAAAGACTCTGACATCACTAACTGGTTGAGAACAAGGTAGGCACCCAACCCTGGGGAGAAGCTGGGCAGAAAAATGGAGGTAGCAGGTAGTGGAGGAAACAGGGCCTTGGGTGGGAATCAGAACAGAACCACAGGTACAAACAGGAGTAGGGAAGGTGATGGAGGAAAGGAAGAGGAAGAAAAAGAAAAGGGAGCCAAAGGAAGAAAAGAAAAAGAGGAAGCTGCAGCTAGAGGAAAAGAAAGGGGAAGATAAACAGGAAGGACAGAAGGAAGGCAGTGGCAAGGTGACTTCAGTGCTTCCCAAGCACATGTGAGCCCTCTCCTTTACTCCCTTGCAGTCCGGGAGACTTCTTTCATTTGCTGAGGAACACTGGGAGTGTGGTGAGCTCCAGCCTTCGCCCTTTTGGGTGGTCTCCTGATCACTCTTGGCCTCAGTTTCCTCATCTGTAAAATAGGCACAGCCATACCCACCTGTGACAGGGAAGTTCTGGGGGATCCCATGAGATGTGCTCCTATAAATAAACATTTATTGGATCTATTCAAGTACCAGGCCCTAGGGAAGAGAAGGCTGACACTGCTTCTGTTCTCTAGGAGACCCCAGTCTAGGAGGTCTAGGACAGGGGCACCGAATGCCCCCAAATCCGGGAAAAAGTTGTAAGTGCTATGGAAACTAGGGTGGATGAAGTGCTATAGAAGGCCAAATTATTTCCTTTTTTGAGGAAGTTTATGAAGGCTTTCCAGAGGACATGGCCTCTGGCCACCTGTAGGCTCTGCAGGATGCATGGAATTTGGATTTGGGTGTCCAGAGAAGGGTGATGGGCATTCCAAATGGAGAGAACTGTGTGAGCAAAGGCAGGGAGGGGAAATGGGGGGGAGGGGGGACATGTGACTAGATTTTAGCATGTGTGTAGGGGGATAAAGTTGGAAAAGTAGGTTGGGGAAAGACATCTAAAGGTGTTGGGTACTCTCTAGGCCTGAATGGGCTAAGCTAGAGATCCCTAAAGGCCTCCTTCATGACCCCCCCTGAAAAATTTAATAAGAACAAATATCATTTTTTATAATAGCAGCACTCTTTTTCCCATCCTCCACTTCAAAACTAACAAAGCTTATGATGGATTTACCTCCAATAATAACAGCAACTGTGGTAGGTGCTGGGGATAC